TCGATCTCCTGACCTCGTGATCCGCCCACCTCGGCCTCCCAAAGTGCTGGGATTACAGGCGTGAGCCACCATGCCCAGCCCAGAACAAGACTCTAAATGCCCCTCTCAGTTACATAACAATAGATGTCCTGGGAGGGATGGGGTGGCCAAGATGACTGAGGGACATTCAGGGCCTCAGGACTTCTACAATCACCACATGACAGCGACTATTTATGAATTGGTGTGAAAGGATTTTCTACCAATATTAAGAGCTTTGAAAAGCAATAAGGCAGGGTAAGGAAATAGAAGTGATAGGCTTGAGGCAGGCAGAAAAGTATTTTAGACACAGTAGATAAGGAAGTTCTTTCTGAGAAGGTGACCTTAGAACAAAACCCCTAAGTGAAGTGAGAGAGCCACAGTGAGATCTGGAGGAAGCGAGACCCAGGAAGAGCGAAAAGCAATGGTATAGCCCTGAGCCAAAAGGGAGCCACATTCAGGAGGAGAAGGAGGAGGGGAGCTTTGATTGAAGACAGTGAGGAGAACGTTAAACATCTATTTGTTTTATCATGAAGACAGTTGTATCACCATTTAAATGAAAGAGTAGCTGGAATATTGGTAGAAACTGAGACAAAATCCACAGAAGCCATGAGCCTGAACCATTTCCGTGGGTCTTGTGCACTTTGATCTACTTTAGACATACAGTGGATGGCGGACACGTATTGCCGTCGGGAAGTCCTGAGAGAATGGAGCTTTTTCTTTGTGACACACTACAAGGAGATTCCTAGGACACTTGGGTGCAGGACAAGGATTCCCCTGTACCCCAGGGGACTCTGTTTTCCATCTTTCCTGAAGTGGATTTTATGAACTACACAGCAGTGCTACTTCTGGAAAACCTTATCACACTTGAAGTGATATCAAGGGATTAAACCAAGTGACTGAACTGACAAATAGAGAAAATACTTCACATTAGAAAATGAAGGGTGAGAATGGAGTTCAGGACTGAGTGTTGAAAGTGAAAGGTAGGAAAACAATAGAGAAGAGAAATAAAGAAGAAGAAAAGAGGAAGATTGGGAAGATTTCTGCTTGGTTTGTCTCTGGCAGATGTCTTAAGTGTGGTTGGGAAGATTTCTGATGGTTTCTTTCTGGCAGATGTTTTTGGAGCGCCTGGAGATGGTGCCTTCTAGTTCTGCTGTCCACACTCCCGCCAAAGCTTTCTCTGGCTGCTCCCAGCCATTGTCTGAGCATGATGGGGCTACTAGATCTGGCTCTTTCTGCCCAATGCAAATGCTTGCTCTAGGCCAAATCCTTGCTCTGGGGCTCCCCATGGGCCTGACTGAAGTTTTCTTAGAAATGCAGTCCAACGTTCTATCTACCCAGTTCCTCCCTTCTCTCTCTCCCTTCACAGATGTCAGCTTATCCTGAATTGAATAATTGACCCCTAAAATTCTTATCTACCTGGAACCTTAGAATGTGACCCTATTTGGAAATAGAGTCTTTGCAGATGGAATTAATTAAGATGAGTTCATAATGGGTTAGGGAGGGTCCTAAATCCAATGACTGATGTCTTTATAAGAAGTCCAGGTGAAGATGTGGAGAGGAGAAGGTGCTGTGAAAATGGAGGCAGAGGTCAAAGTATTGTGTCTACCAGCCAAGGAATGCCAAGGATTCCCGGTGACCACAAGAATCTGGGAGAGGGGCCTGGAACAGATTCTCCCTCAGAGTCTCCAAAGAAGCCCATCCTACCAACACCTTGGTTTAGGACTTCTGACTCCAGAACTGGGAGGCAATACATTTCTATTGTTTTTAGCCATCCAGTGTGTGGTCCCCTGTTGAGGCAGGCCTAGGACACTAACACACAGCTCTACATTGTGGTCTGAGACTCACCCTGTCTGCTCTTCTCCTTTTCACCTCTGTCCTTCATAGGACACATCCACCCAATAAATTCCCTGTACTTTTCATTCCCTGTTGGTGCCTACTTTCCAGAAAGCCTATACTGCCACACACCCCAAAATTAAAAAAAAAAAATCCCAGTTTTAGGCTTTCAATCAAAAGCTTCAGAAAGAGACTCTACCACTGAGTCAACAAGAATCATTGAGCTGCTCGTCCTCGCCGTGTACTGTGCTGAGTGAAACAGGTATAAAGATGAACAAGACAGAAAATCTGCCGTTAAGTGCTCTCTCAGTCCAATTCGATGAGAGTTTTGTCTTGAGGGACACATAACAAAACAAAATAAAATAATCTCAATACAGTGGCAAAAATGTTGTAATCGAGACATGAAGTACTTTAAGGCAGTGCAGGTGCTTAGCAACACAGACAGTCACCTGACCCCGTATACAGAGGGGGTAGCCAGGAAACACCTCTCAAAAAGAGAGAATATTTATGCTGAGACTGGAAAATGCAAAGGAGTTGGCTGGACAGAACATAGAATAGAAAAGCATTCTAGACAGACAAAGAGTGTGGACAAAAGCATATGTATTCTTTTGGAGACTAAAATTAAGTTGATCTTAAGTCTCATCCACTTTGGGGAAAAGAGAAAGGAGATAACATGGTCAGATAGCTTCTCAGAAGTGGTCTTAGAATTGTGCTGGAGTTGAGGATACAATGTGGAGTTGGGGACATATTTCCTAAACCTCCTCCAACCCCTGACCCCTTACCCAGTTAGACTCACTTCTTGTTTTGCATGGGATTTTCAAGACTCTGTATGCAGTTGGGTTTTAGACATAACAGACATGACTGAGGGTCTAAGGCATCCAGCAGAACTCTGCTTAAAATCACCACTGAGAGGAAACCTCCAATACCCGTGTGGAAAAAATTCAGGGCTGTGAACCAGCACCACTGAAAAGAGATTGTTGAAATAATAAGTGAATTACGTGGTTTTTAAAAACATACCTTGTACTTGCTTGGAAGCAAAAGTTGAGGTCCCTTTAATAAACATACTGGATGTAGTGGTTCACACCTGTAATCTCAATATTTAGAGAGGCCTAAATGGGAGGATTGCTTGAACCCAGGAGTTTGAGACCAGCCTGGGCATCTCTAAAAAATAAATAAATAAACAAATATTTAAGAATTATATCATTTGAATAATGTAAAACATATATTACCAAATATTTTTACGAAGGTCCAGCATTTTGTTGAAACTATCTAGTAAGCCTCCTGCCGCTGTTACCACTGCAAAACTAAGTGTGCAGTTAGTGGAGCAGGCACGGTGGTAGGGATACCGGGAAAATTGAGTAAATGACAAAGTGGAACAATGACATCAAAGGAGAGGACAACAGATAGGACAGCAGCATGAGAAAGGGAGAAAGACTGGAAGATTCAGAGAGAAAAGAGAGACGATCTTAGAAAATTCTGCTACTTGAGCTTCCAAAAAAGTTAAGAAAAAGAATAACCAGAATTTGCTAAAAATGGGAATGAAATAGATACTAAAACACCAAATAGAGGGCTCTAGAAAGGGAACAGGAACTCTAGTGCACAGGCTGTTCCCCTGTCGCTGCTGTGTGCATATTCAGTATCTCCCTGGCCTGCACTGGCCTCTCTGTTTGAGTGGGCCCTGTCCTCCTCTGTGAACAAACTGTAGCCAAAAGAATTGTAAGTGCTCATTTAGTCAGTTACATATGTATTATCAGAGCTTAGTCTTCAGCAGACTGCTTCTAGACACTCGGGAATTTCTCACTGGCAACCAGCGTTACCCAGGGTCTCACAGTGGTAATAGGGAGGAACATGAAGGATAGAACCGTGTGAGGTGAACAGCAGCCTCTTGCAATCATCTAGTCCTTTAGGAACAGCTCTGCTGTGCTGCTAGTCCTCAGGCCACACTGTGAGAACAAGTTACAGAGCACCCTGGTGAGTGCTGAGTGAGTCAGGGAGTAGAGATAAGAAGAAATAGAGAGAAAGCGAGAGGGAGAGAGGGACCTGTAGGTACATAGAAAAGGCAGGAAGCAACGTATGTCCTTGACTCATTTGATACTGCACTTTGTCCTACTTCCCAAGGATTCAGTCACCGCCATTTACCTTTAGCATTGCAGGCAGATAGAATCCCCCTCTACATATGAATCTGGGCACAAAGCCATGCAGGTGTGAGTAAGCCCATGAAGGAAGTGGCACTCAAAGACTCCAGGAGTTCAGGCCAGGCACAGTGGCTCATGCCTGTAAGCCCAGCACTTTGGGAGGGTGAGATGGGTGGATCACCTGAGGGTGAAACCCCATCTCTACAAAAATACAAAAATTAGCTGAGCATGATGGTGGGTACCTGTAATCCCAGCTACTTGGGAGACTGAGACAGGAGAATCACCTGAACCCCGGGAGACGGAGGTTATAGTGATCTCAGATCACGCCATTGCACTCCAGACTGGGTGACAGAGTGAGACTCTGTCTCAAAAGAAAAAAAAAGAAAAAGAAGAAAAAAAAGACTGCAGGAGTTCTAATATGCCCCATTAGGTAGGCACCAGAATGGCCCCTTGTAACTTTTTCCTACCTTCTTCTCTCCTAATTCTTCTTCCGTGGAGGAAACAATAATTATCTCTGAATCATCCCTATTCAGAGAATCGAGGATATATTAGAAGATCTGGGTAAACAAGCACAAATATTACAAAAGTACTAAAACAGCAAACTTCAGGGTTGAACTTGTGGTTTGCTTCTGTTTTTTCTACCCACTCTAAAGGTGTTCCTGATATAGAAGCTTCCTCAGTGTTCCCTGTGTTGGTGTGTAAGACAGAAAGAAGATTGGTAAAAGAGTGCACTCATCGTCCCCTACAAACCAGAGGCTGATCGCATTAGGGAGAAGCTAGGGTTTGGCCTCACACAAGCAGTTTGCACTGTTGTCCAATCCCAGGTGGGGTGACCGCCTCTTCATTTCCTTTGATAGCAACTGTCTGTTGCATGATGCAGTGTGGGTGTCCTCAGAGGTAACTACCTAAGTTTGCATACTTCCTCACTGACAGAACACTCCTGCCAGTGCCTCCAGGCCAGGGTGGTGGTATTGGTGGGAGGAGTAAGTAACCAAGTTTCACTTCCTTGCCTTGGAGACTCAGAGCCACAGCGGGCTGCTGTCTCACAGAGGGAGAGGGTGGCAGGAGCAGCCGAGTTGTCTCTCTCTGCCTCTGTGAAGGGCGCGAATGGGCAGAGCAGAACTTCTAGAAGGGAAGATGAGCACCCAGGATCCCTCAGATCTGTGGAGCAGATCCGATGGAGAAGCTGAGCTGCTGCAGGACTTGGGGTAAGGGAGCAGATCTCCTTTCAAAGTGCCTAGTGGGTGGACATTGACTCCGCACTCCCACCTTCATGCTTTGGTTAATGACTATCTTCAGCGCCTTGTTGCCCTCTGCCACCTCAACTGTTTATTTTTTTCCACTTTATTCATTTGTATCTGTTAAGTATCTTCCTGTTTGGGGCTAATTCCATTGCAAAAGCCTGCATTATTTTTCTAGATGTGAAAACAAGTAGGTTGAGAAAATAGAGACAAAAATCAAATGCTGGACATTCTTTGAGAAGAGGGACAGAATTGGGATATAGAGGTGACATTGCCTGACTTCCTTGATGTTGCTGTGGTTTGTGAATAAATGTGTTGTTCAAGAGTTTCCAGCACTGACCCAGGGACAGTAAAAGGACCGTGTTGCTGGTAAGATAAACAGAAAGCCTACCCTACTGTAAGGGAGAGGGACTTTTTCAAAAGACAGAGAATGAGGAAGTTTCTGCAGTAGTCTTGCTTGTATGTTTCTTTCTCCTGATACTGCATTTGGGAGTTTTATATTTTGTGTATGTCCAGAGGGCCAACTTTGAGCCTTTAAATACCAACAATCCACGAAGAGGATAAAATTTCTTCTTCAAACAGGTAAGCATAGGTAGGTGGAGTCATTGGAGCTCTGTCTTTGAGAAGTGACCCAGATGACAACTCATCCGGGTATTTAATAAAAGAAGCAAGTATTACACAAGAGAGGAATTGGGGATTTCCTAGAGAAACTGAACCTTCTGCCTAATGCGCTGGGAATATCCCAATGAGGGTGGCTTTGGCACCTGTGCATGAGGAGAGGTAAAACCTGTACCTTCTGCCTGAGTAAATAGCTCTAAATCTTCATAACAATCCAATGACATGGGAGCTGTTGTCATCTTCATCTTACAAAGGATGAAAACAAGCACCAAACAGGTTTGAATAACTTGCTTGCTAGTCACGCATCAATTACATAGCAAAGCTGGGCATCCAACCTGCCACGGGTTATGTCCTAAACCGAAGAAAAACCAAAATAGAATTGAAACCTCTCTGTGTTAAGGCTGCAGAGATTGTATCTTTTTATGTTGTATTACTGTAAAAGTTTATCAGTAATTCCTGTGTTTAGATCATAAAACTGAGGTCTCGGCATTGAACTCTACTTTCATTTGGCAAATCAGATAAAACAACTGGAATTTTCATTAAAGAAAACTCCCCTTATTAGGAAGCCAGAGCTCTAGAATCTCTCTATCGCTCTAGAATGAATCCCCAAACAGAAGAGGCAAAGGGCCCTTCTGGGAGCATCCAGCACAGTTTTCACCAAGTCCAAATGCTGAAGCTGACCTGTGGCCCGCAGTGCCTTATTGAACCATTAAGCTACAACGCTTTACATGTTCTGTTAACTGATTCCCAGCCCACTGTAATAGAAAACCCCAAAGGAGGAGACAGAAGAATTTATTCAATTCTGGTCGTTTAGTTAAACAAACAATCCTAGAACCCAGAGTCCGTGGTTGAGTACTGTGGGAACACGCTTAGATGACAAAGATGAATTAGATGCTGTCTCTGTGCCCCACCACGATGCCAATAGCAAGAAGCAACTACAGGTGAACCCCATGGGGGAAATAGGACTGTGGACTGTGTCTTTCTTCCATGTGCAAAGAATCGACATTGAATACAAAACCGAGTCACACCACTTCCCTACAAAAAAAGGATACATTCATGTCCAGATTTCCCTATTTCAGAAGGCCTGAACAATTATTAAACATGAGGATGATTTCTATAGCAATGGGCAACCTGCAGGTATCTGGGAAAACTGCTCTACAGTCCAGGTTCTTGACCTTGGCTGTGCTCTGGAACAACCCAAGGAGCTTTTTCTTTCTTTTTTTTTAAAAAAAAAACAAAACAAAAGAAACAAACAAAAAAAACCACTCCTGACACCCAAACCACAGACTTGACAAATGATTTCAGTATCTCTGAGGGTGGGCGTTTTCTTGTCAAACTCTCCAGGTAATTCCAAAGGGAGACCCTAGGTTGATGATCACTGCATAGAATACGTATCCACCAAATGCATTAGGTAAATGTCTTATTTTTCGTTTTAAGTCTGTTGGGTGTGTACTTGAATCTTAAAAGTACTAATAAATGTTGATATTTTGTTTATTGGCTTAGGGGCGTTTCGATTAGCAACTTTATTAAGGTGTATTTTACATATCATAAAATGTACCCGTTTCAAGTGTACAATTCAAGACTTTTGACTAACTTTACACAGTGATACAACTGTCACCATAAATCAGTTTTAGTACATTTCCGTTCTCCCAGAAAGAACTCTCAGATGTAGGGCTTCTTTAAGCATACTCAATAGTGTGCTGGAAAAACACCTGGGGTGAGTTGAGGGGTGGAGAAAGCCCTGATTTCAAGAATTTGCCTAATTCCCTGGTATAAATACTCCCACTATAGACAATTTCAAGCTGCCAACAAGTTAACATCATTGAATTGAATATTTAACAATCAACTTGTGCCAGTACTTGCCCCTGCAGCACCTCACTGATACACTTTTTATAGATAACAATTTGAGAAGTCTTGACAATGACTTGTTGCCTCTGCTAGAATACTGAACGTAACTCAAACATAATATTGACTTTTTCTTTGAATCTTTAACCACTGGTGAGATAGAATCTCTACCAAACCTTCTGATTAATTTAGTTTCCAAAACCTCCTTAAAAACAAAATGATTTAATGTAACTGATAGATAAAAGTTGGCTGGTTTTAATGACTTAATTTTTCAATTATTTTGAAGAGGTTATTTGAGTAGTTAGATAAATCCTTATGTTTGTATTTTTGATAGACATAAACAGATAAGTTAGTGGTTAAATTACAGAAATATCAGAAGTCTTTGTTCTTGGGCATCTGTTTTTTTCAGGCTCTGGAATATGTAAATCCTGTAAATTGAGCCCTGAACTGCAGCAAATCCGTCACTTGCCTTTCTAGGACATATACAACTTGCTCAGAGTACAGGTTTATTATTTTCTAAAATACCTAAATCAAGCAACACCATGCTTTTCCATGTCTCATTTACACAGTGTCAGCCTAAAAACGTTAATTTTCTTTCATCTAAAATACATTCATGTGTCCAGAAGCAAAGGAGAAATAAAACCATCTTAAATTGTTGCTCAGCTTCGCTTACACTTTGCAGGGGAGGGTACGGGCTTAGGGGGAAGAGGGGTGTGGGGAGGGCAAGAAGTGAGGGGCATGGAGAATCAGGGGGGAGGAGGGAGGTGGACCGTGAACCAGGAGATGGGTCAGGCTATTTGCTGCTTGCAAAATGAAGAGATGGCAAAATTAAACAAGTAACAAATACTGGAGATATCACCTAAGTAACAAACTGGTAAAGAATAACTGAAAATTCCAGCGATTCTTTGGCTTTAACAAAGGTTACTATACTATTTCTACATATAGCTCTATATAAGTATAAACACAAAAGAAATAACATAAAATGAAAATATTTTAGCATACTTTACAATTAAATATTCAAATGATCTAGTCAGTCGTAACTCCATGTGAGAAACATAATAAACATTCTCTTTTTTAGATATTTTCTCAAATTGGAAGTTGTATAAGAAAGTGCCAGTGTTTGGCTAGGTTGACCAGTGCCAAATAACTAGATTCTAAGCTCTGAATATTTAAATTAATTGACAGCTAATTCTTCACATATGAGAGAAGGTTAGAGTAGATCATGGAGCAGCAAACCTTTTTTTATAAAGGTCTGCGTAGTGAACGTTTTAGGCTTTGCAGGCCTTACAGTCTCTACCTCAACTACTCACATCTGCTGTTGTGCAAAAACTACAAGAGAACACAGAAACAAATGACCGTGATGGTGTTCAAACAAAACGTTATTTATATACTGAAATGTAAATTTCATGTAATTTTTATGAGTCACAAAGTATTCTTCTATTTCCCCCAAGCATTTCAAAATGCACAGCCATTCTTGGCTCCCGGTCCATACTAAAACAGGTATCTGGCAGGAATTGACCCTCAGCTGGTGATTTGCTGACCCAAGGAATAAATTATAACAAATAAAATGAGCCCCTATTATAAGGCAGGCATTTTGTAGACACTAGCTCTCATCTTCAAAAGGCACTGGTATTCCAGCTTTACATAGGAAGAGATTCAAGAGCAGAAAAATCAGGTTGCCTACAGTCTCGGAGAGTCTGTGTTTAAAACCCATGCTGACTTCACAAACCAGGTTGTTTCCCTGCTGTGATAGTCCTGATTTACTGACCACCTACTATGCACCAGCACCGTGCCATTCACATGCATAATGCCATTCACAAGAACACTTTCAATACGATATCACCATACTCATTTCATAGATGCAAAAGGTGACTTCAATAAGCTAAGTATACAATCCAGATCACAGACTTTGTAAGCAGTGGAGCTGAGAGACACATCTAGGGACTTACCCCAGAGCTTTCCACTGCGTGGTGCTGCTTTGTAGAGCCCACTGGTCAAAGGTATATATTCTAATCATGACAATTCGTAATTATTGGATGCTTGCCATGTGCCAGCACTAGTTTAAGCCCTTTGCCCAGATGAACTTGTTTAATTCACACATTGCTGTGAGGTGGGTATTATTACTAATGTCATCCCCATTTACAGATAAGAAAAGTAAAGAACTGAGTTTTAATCACATGCACAAGTTTCCATTCTAATATACCTTCAAATCCAAGCGTTTTGCTCCAGAGCCTTCATGCTTGATGTAAACTAATGTAACCATTAATGTAAACTGGTTTTCATCAAATTTCTCTCATCTTATTATACAAGTACATGTTCGTAGTGCTTATTATAAACTGAGAGAAGCAAAGAAAGTTCTGTGACTATAACAAAGTTTACTGTAAAAGACATTCTTTCTATTCCTCACATAATATACATACACATGTACACAAAGCCAGGCCAGCATCCTAGTTAATCAGATGTTATTGAATTTTGTGTAGATTTCATTTTCAGGACTAGAAAAA